TCAACGGTTCGAATCTCCCAGCCACTCCGTGGGATGAAGACGAGGTTTTCTACTCACCTAAAGACTGATGTGTCTGCGTGTCACTACGTGTCTGTCAGCCACCACTTCTCAGTCAGTTTATCGGGCTGTGGTGGCTTGAGTGTTGCTGTGTTGGTGGCAAATTAAAAAAAAATTAGCACAAGTCCCTGAGACCTCCAATAGGGACCTTGAATCTATCTCACCTGAACCTGGAGAACATCTCAAGCACAGATTTGCTACATTGAACACTAATCGAAGACCTGATAAACTGCGGGATGATGGTCATTAAAAAGACTAGAAAGAAAGAAAAGGAGAACATTCCCAGCTGCACGGAAAACATTAGCCAAAAACAAGGCTCCAGGACTGGATGGAACACCACCTAAAATGCTTCAACAAGCTGATGAAGCACATCGTCTACGTCAAGAAATTCAGAAGACAGCTACTTGGCCAACCTCACTGGAAGCGATCTGTATGTGCTCACCCCAAAGAAAGGTGACCTAGTAGAACACCCCAATTATAGGACAATATCACTAATGTCACGTGCAAGTACATGCTGCTGAAATCACCCGACAACAGTGGTCGCAATGCATTGACAGAGACCTGCCAGAAACTGGGGCCAGATCCAGACGAGGACGTGGGAGAAGGGCTATCCCTGCCGGGATCCTGGCTGAAAGCGGAGAATACCAGAAAGACGCTTCCTGGTGTTTCCTCGACAAAGGCATTTATTTGACTGCGTGGATCATAACACGCTTTGGATAGCCCCGAATAGAACTGGAATTCCAGAACACTTTATTTACTCATGCGGAACCTGGACATGGCTCAAGAGGCGGCTGTGTGGACAGAACAAGGGAACAGCGCAGGGTTTAAAATCAGGAAAGGTGCGCCTCAGGGCTGCATCCTCTCACCTGACTCAGTCACTCTGCATTCGGAGCAGGTAATCAGGGGAGCTGGAGTATGCGAAGAAGAGTGCGCCATCAGGATCGGGGGAAGGCTTATTAACAACCTGCAGTACTCAGATGACACGACCTCGCTTGCTGAAAGTGAGGAGGACTTGAAGCCCTTGCTGATGAAGGTCAAGGAGTGCAGCCTTCCGGATGGATACACCTCACCATAATCCTCACAACTGGACCAGTAGGTAACATCAAGATAAAGAGAGAAAAGATTCAAGTTGTTGAAGATTTCATCTCAGGGTCGGGGAGGGAGGGGATAAAGGTGAGCTTCTATCAAAG